AACAATAAGAGGTTGCCCTTACAAAGGAGTCACCCAGCTTTCACATTCAGTTCACTTGTATTTGAAAGTAAGTAAAGATGAAGAAGTATAGGTTTCTGAAAATGATCAATTACATTGAGTGTGGTACAGTGTTACCAGGAGATCTCCTCACTTGGAGACCTGATGCAGTCTCAATGGGGCTAACTTGTATCCAGGTATCATGATTTTGGAGTATTTCCATGGTTTTCTAAGGAGGAATCGTGGTGCATTGACTAAGTTCTTTTTAAGAAAATTATTTATTTTTATTACAAAGTCACATATACAGAGAGGAGGAGAGACAGAGAGGAAGATATTCCATCTGATGGTTCACTCCCCAAATGACCGCAACAGACGGTGCTGTGCCAATCCGAAGCCAGGAGCCAGGAACTTCCTCCATGTCTCCCACATGAGTGCAGGGTCCCAACACTTTGGGCCATCCTCGACTGCTTTCCCAGGCCGCAAGCAGGAAGCTGAATGGGAAGTGGAACTGCCGGGATTAGAGCTGGTGCCCACATGGGATCCTGACGTGCTCAAAGTGAGGACGTTAGCCGCTAGACCACCAGGCTGGGCCCTCATTGACTAAATTCTTTACTGAGGCAACAATTGATGTGGACAAAGACAAATACAGATTTTTTTAAAGAACTAACTTCTAGAGATATTGCTGGAATTTCTCAATGTTGTCTGAGGCACTTCTGTGAATCAAAGCTTTGTGCCAATACAGCAAAGGGAGTCAGGCAATTTGTTTTCATTATTTTTGAATGAAGCTTTTCAGATTACTAGTGATTTTTGTCGGATACCATTTTCAGAATTTCAACTATAAGGAGAATCTTCTTAAGAGATTATCCTTGAAAATGAATTGTTATATTTAAAAGATAAATAGTTAAAAGTAGTTAAAACCAGCCAGCATTCTACGATTCTGAAAGACCAATTTGCAGTCTCATAGAGAGAACCCCAATGAATCTGAGGTCCAGGCCACGTTGCTTTCACTGTCCCTTCTGGCTGTATGATTAGTTTTGACTTCTCTCACCTTAGTTTTCCCTTTTTAAAATCTGTTTTTGTATGCTAATCTTAGCCAAAACCTAAAACCTTATACATAATCTAAGATGAAATTTCTGATGCGTAATAACTCACAATTTTAATATCCTAATTTCCTCCAGTGGTCAAGCCTATCAGTAGTTACCTGAGTGTAATCCTGTGCTCTTCCTTATCAGCTGGAGGAGGGCAGTGACTTAGATATTGCTTTCAGCATTTACCATATCTGGTATGCAAAAGTACCTTGTGCATAACAAAGTTTTGGAAAAAATATATCTCAATCAGGATTGGTATAGGAAGGTTGTTTTGCAGGGCATTGCAGCACAGTAACTGGGGCTAAAGGACTTTGATAGACAAATATCAGGTAACTTCAAGCTGCTTAAAAATTGTCCCAGATTAAAAAAAAAAAACCTACAAGATTTAACTTTAGTGGATGAAAAATTAGTACTGGTGAAGAACAGATATTGAGTCATGTATTTCATTTCAATATAATCAAGACATTTCCAAAATGTAATCTAAAGATGAAACTGAATGTCTTATAAGGCAATTTAGTGACTATTGGGAAAGGGTTCAAAACAAAGGCTTGGGAGGCTTGATAATGTTTCAAATGTCATTAAAATCATTGGAGCTCTAACTGACAGGATGGGCTAAATGGATTCGTTATACCTCCCCATTCAATGGAAACACAACACAATATGAGAGACTTGCAAAAACTTCATGGTAAATGTGTATTATGAACAGTTTACACATGTAAAGTATCAAAACAAACAATTGAAAGGTGATTGCTTTTATGAAGACAATAGCAAATCCAGAGAAACATAAATCAAAGAGAACTACACAGCAATATGACTGCTGAACAGACATGCAAAGATGGTAAAAAAGAAATCTAATCTAATCCAACAATACAGAATCTGCCTAGACCAAATGGCACTTATCACGCAGATTCAGGGATAGCCATATATAGGAAAATTAGTAAACATCCATTACATCAGCAGATTTAAAAAGAAAAGCTATATGATTATATCAACGTATGCAAAAAACATATTTGATATATCAATATATCAACAAATGCAGAAAATGCATTTGATAACAAAAACTTAAAAAATGGATACAGAAGAGATGTATCTCAACATGATCAGTGCAACATATGAAAAACCCACAGCTGGCATCATATTGCTTGTGGAAAAGCTGGAATCCTAGAAATCATACAAAGATGTCCACTCACAGCAGCACTTTCCATAGTTCCTTAGTGATTAAACAGGGACATTAGACATGGAATATAAACCAAAGGGAGCTAAATGAGAGAAGAGGACGTCAAGTCATACCTGTTTGCTAATGACATGATCGTTGGATAGGGGAATAAAAGGATCCACAAATACTACTGAAACTCATGAGAGAGTTTGGTAAAATTGCGGATAGAGAATCAACACAAAAATAGACAATAACCTTTGCATATGCAAACAATGCCATGGCTGAGAAAGAGCTCATCAAGGCTAATCCATTCATAATTGCTAAATTAATAAATTAATTAAATAACTTAGATAAATTTAACCAAGTCTGTGAAAGATTTCTACGCTGAAATTACAAAAGTTAAGGAAAGTAATAGAAGATTATACAAGAAAATGGAAAATCTGCATTTGTGGATTTCAATAATCAATATCATTGAAATATCCTTTCTATAAATAACACTTTATAGGATTAGTCTAAATCATAATCCAAATTCTTCTCAAAAGATGTGCCAAAATCTGCCCCAAAAAAACAGCAAAATATAAGAAACCTGAATGGCTAAAGCAAAATTTAATAATCAAAAACAGATTTGGAGGCATCACAATATGAGATTTCAAGATATACTACAGCAATGAAGCCTGGTACTGACCCACAAACAGCCTTGTGGACTGACGGACTAGAATGGAAACCCTAGAAATTCGTCCATTTGATGAGCAAGCTGAAATCAATCCCTGGATAAAGAATAGTCTATACTAACTGGTGTTGAGCGAGTTGGATTGCCACATTCAGAAGCATGAAACAAGGACCCTATCCTACACAATGTACAAAACTCAAATCAAATGGTTCAAGGAGCAAACATGAGCATCTCAATCCATCAAATTCCAAGAGAAAATCCTGGGGGAATCTCCTAACAATATTTGCTTAGGCAAACATTTCTTGAATAAGGCCCCAGAAGCATAGACAAAAAATTTTTTTTTAAAATAGACAAATTGGATTATATTAAAGTAAGTAGTTTCTGCACTGCATATGAAACACTCCACAAACTGAAAATACAACTAAAAGAATGTGAGAAAACATCTGCCTACTCTGCAGTTGATGAATGATTAACGTTCAGAAACTATAAAGAGCTCAAGAAACTCAGCAACAAACAATGCAGTAGAGAAAAAGATTATCCTAAGTTTAGTGGTGGGGATGTAAACTATTTAAACCATTGTTGATAATAGTCTGGAAGTTCCTCGGAAATCTGAAAAGAATGTTTCATTTCATCTAACCATTGTATTCCTGGTAATATACCCAAGATATTAATTCAGCATATAGAGTGCTTTCTATATCTTCTGCCACCATATATAGCAGTTCAATTTGCAATACCTATCGTACATACCCAAATTAAATGCCCATCATTCTGATGACTGCCCAAACAAAACGTGGTTCAAATATGCTGTGAAATAGTACTTGCCCCCCAAGAGAAAGAAATCCTGGTTTTGCACCAAATGAATTGGAAACCATTATGTTTAGTGAAATAAGCTAGATTTAAAAATATAAATATCATGCTTTCTCTGATTGTTGTACCTAATATATAAAATGTTAAAGCCTTAATGTTTATCAAGTTGCACTTATATCTTGTGATTTGATTGTTGTCTATAAACCTGGTCTATACCCTGGAAGAACAGTGATCTATTTATTTTGTATTTTCAGAGCTCATTGTTTACAGAATCATTGAGCCTATGATCACAAAATAAGGTTTTAATTTTCTTGCAATATGTTATTGCAAAACAGCATAATATTGCAAGAAAATTAAAGGAAAAGGAAAGAAAGGAAGGAGGGGGTTAGAAGAATGTAACATTATATTCATTGAATTGTACTTACAGCATTCATGAAATCTGCTGTCTATGTATTAACAAATAATATGTAACAAAAATTACAAAAGTACATAAATGAATGTAAAGTTTTTTCAAAGAAACACTGCATAGATTTAAATTTTTTCACAATTTATATGTTAATTTTGTTATCTAATGTTTTAAATGAGAACAGTAAGTAGTTTACATAAGACACATTGTTCACTTTTTGAAAGCATCTTTCATATCCTTAATCAAATCAATGTCATACACTATTGTAGCTATGATACTGTTTGGTGATGACAAAAAATGCTGCTTTTTCACTAAAGTTGCTTGGCTTTGATTAGGCAAGGTACCCACTCTTACTCTGAACTATGGACCAAGAATCCGGGCACAGCCTAATTGACTCAATATTTCCCTTATGACATACTTGTTCCTACTTAGTGACTAAACTACTCATACCTTTTCTAAAAGATCCAGATCCCCATGAGGCATTGGCGTGCTGCCAATGGGTTAATAGTGTCTCTGAAAAGAATTCTTAGGAATACCTTAGAACGAGTTTATGGCTGCTACTGGATATTTTAGTAATTGGAGCCTAGCATTTATGAAGATGGCTCACAGCCCAGCCTCTTACTAACTGTGTTAAAGTGGATATATTCATTGATTCTGTGAGCCACAGATCTGTTATTTGCCAAATAGACATAAGAAAAGATCCTATCTACTCAGAGCTGCCTTGCAGAGTAAATAGGTAATACACATGAACAGCTTGACACAGTACCTGGCACCAGGTAATAATTAATAATATTAGTTAATGCTGTTGTAAATGTCTGGTTTTTTCTCAGTTCCCTTTGAATACGTTTTAAAGCTGTGTGCTTTGCTGTTTTTCAGACATCGATGAATGTGCCTTAAAAACTCACACGTGTTGGAATGATTCTGCCTGCATCAACCTGGCAGGGGGCTTTGACTGCCTCTGCCCCTCTGGGCCCTCTTGCTCTGGTGACTGTCCCCATGAAGGGGGACTGAAGCACAATGGGCAGGTGTGGACCCTGAGAGAAGACAGGTGTTCTGTCTGTTCCTGCAAGGTGAGGCTGATGTGGTGAACATAATTAGCAGCTATTCTTTCTCTTCCACCTTCATCTCTTTACCTCTCTGCACCTTCCCCCCCCCCCCCGGCTGTTGACTCAGGAGTCTCCTGTAGTTTTTGCAAAAGCCCCTCTTCTTTCAATTCTACAGCTAATGGTGATGCTGAGTGGCAGGCAAGCTTGCTTTGAATTGATTGTGAACTCACTGAAAAGTGAGATGTTGGGTTGGGATGAGACTGCAGGCAAGGAAAAGCAGGACACAGAAGCCAATGTTAGTCCTCCCACTGAGAGCCTGAGGTGTTGTTAAGATTGGTTGGATGAACTGTAATAAGCCCTTATAAAACTCTTTATAAATGTGATGATTAAAAGTGCTCTGCCTAAAATTATCACCTGTATCACTGCATCAACTTTCTCACTTTTTGCGGTGACATCACACACACGGCTCACAGATTTCCATGGTCAGAGACAGGTGGGCTTTCATTCTGAGCAAATGACAATATTAATACAAGCTCTATTGGTAATTGATGTCTGCTTTGCCATTCTCACTTTAGGCTGTTGTTTTATATTAAGTAATTTGGAAGTGAGTTTAATGCTTATGTGAATAAGATTCTGTAATCACTTGGTTTTGTTTTATGCTTTGTAAAAATGGTCGTATTAAAGTGTTTGATTTCCTTATGTTTTATTTCTTCTTTTTTGATCTTTCCTATTTATTTGCCTTTGATGTGGCCTTACTGTAGCTCTTGCCTTGTATTTCTATGACTGAAAGAATGGGAGTATTTAATCTTGGGCTTTATGGTCATGGGAGCTAACAGAAATTACATGTTTAGTAGCCTGTTAGCCAGTTGCCTGATAAATTCTGAATGTGCTATATTAAAGAAGCTGCGATGAACCTTAAGAAATCATCCAGTTTATTTCCTTGCCTCGCAATCTGCTATATCTCAATAGATTTACCAAATGCTTAATTCATTGCCCCATAACACCAGTGTTCTTTCCTGTATGCAAGCCTAGTTCCTTAAATCAAAATTTAGTTACATTTTGTTACTTAACCCAAGTTCATGGTTTTCCCATTTATTATGTAGTGTTCCAGAGGTTGTGGCAAAAGCAGAGGGCTGGTTTTAGAAATTGGATTAGGAAATCTGAGTCAAATTCTGCAAGACAGCCTCATCAGATGAACTATTGGTGACTTTTCCTATTTCATTTTATTTTCTCGGAGTTTTAAGTGTTTCATTCCAGTTTTATGAGAACGATCTCCTTTACATAAGCATCCAAATGGACAATTATTATGACATCATCTTGGAGACCATGGAATAAAATCAAGGTTGAGGTATAAAGTTTATTCTTTTCGGTCATATGTTGTGTTCCGAATTCAAATAAAACAAGCACACAATGGTAAAAGCCACAGGCTCTTAAAGGGTCATGGTTGACTGTTGAGAGGAGCAGATTCACACATATTTTTAAAAACCTCTTTCCTCTGTCTAAAGTCAATATGGCAGGTCATCTGCTTGTGTTTTGCAAGAATTGAAAGAAAGACGTTGAAATCTGTTCACAGATGAATGGTGTTCAATGTTAAAGCTAGGTCACCACAAATGGATTTAGCTTTTGTTTAAATTCTGTGTGCTTTAGATGTAACTTTTTTCTTTTTTGCACTATCAGAACATTTATCTGATTAGGCAAAAGAAATGCTAAATTTTTAGAGTTCGTATTTTTTTTCAGCATTATCCAGGCCATGGAAATTTATAGAATAATGGTTGCCACTGGAGTTTGATCCCTAAACTTTGGTTACAATACGGCTGCTTTTCATAGATCCCTGTTTGTGGTTCTTACATTTGTAAGATTTTACAGGCCTCGGAAAGATATATTTGTTTCCTCCTGTGCTCCTAGGTAAGTTATGGAGATTCTTGATTTATTAGTTTCTAGAAAATGGAGCATTTTGGTATAAGAAGTTGTGTTTATGTTGATTATCATAGAGAGGAAGGGGAAAATGGAATCACAAACAATTAACCAACTGTCGCACTGTGGTAGATTCATAAACAGTTTTCTATGGGAAAATATAAAGGGTAAATGATTTATTCTGGGATGATTCACAAAGGACAGAGACAGACTTTACAGAGAGGACTCCCTTGAATAGGACCTAAGTGGACTAGAAACTTAGCCAAGTTGGGGTGTAAAGTGAATCCTAAATAGAGAAAACCACAAGAGCAAAAATGCTGAACTCTAATAATGTATATTCTGCAAAAAAAATGTGAATTGAAGAATGAGAGTAGAATTTATGAGCAAAAAAAAAGGAGGGAAGGCATGGTAAGGGTATAGTCCGTCATGAGCCTGGAGATAACAGTTAGGTATTGAGCAAGGATGTGGAATTTAGATTTCAACTTGTGGGCAGTAAGAGATCATAAGGGATTTTACATTTGGGATTGATATGGCCCTGTTAAGTTCTGATTGACAGCATGATGATGGAAGATCTGAGACTGAAGCAAACTAAAGCAAAAACACTTAGTCTGAGGCAGAAGTTCAGGTTATTGAAAATGGGAGCTTGAAAGAGAAGTATAAAATTAAGATCTCATGGGAGAAAAGATAGAAATGAAATAATACATGCTGCTTAATTATGCCAGAGACTCAGCCTCTATAACCACATTTCCCTAATCTGTGAACAAGAAACTCCAGAGTGGTTGGCCTGAGAAGCTTAGCCACCCATTTTGCTGGATGGAAACATTCCCTCTGCCAGCACTGAGGGACAGGAATGTGTCTGACTAGTTCCCAGCAGATGTTGGGATGGCTGTTGGTTTGAATTCTTCTGTTTGCAATTTGTCAGAAACTGTTTTTTGTTTGTTTACTATCTAGACTTCTCATAAGGCATGCATCATTGTGGTGAATTACTAGCACTGAGATCTTGTTTCTTTTCAGTTAGTAATTGTCCATTTGGAATAATCATTTTCCTTTTCAAGCCTTGGTTTTCTCTTTGTTAAAGGCAGATAACTAAATAAATTGACACTAAAGTTGTTTTTTCTCCAGTTTTAAGGTGTTTATCTTTGGCTATGGTGTAAGGCAAAATTAAAGCTTATGTATTTGTTAAACATTTATGTATTTGTTTAAACTGCAGAGCCAACTCAGATTGCTGGGTAGTGAGGATCAGGTGAGAGAGAGACCCTACATCTGCTGGTTCAATTTCCATACGGGTACAATAGCCAGGTCTGAGTCCATCAAAAACCAGGAGGAAAGAGCTTCATCAGAGTATCCAATGTGGGTGTAGGAAGCAAATTGCACACACCGATTTCCAGGGCTTTCCCTAGGTCATTAATGAGAAGCAGAATTAGAACAACTAGAGCAAGAATGAATACGTGTAAGAGATGGCATTGTTACAGGCACTGTACCACAATACTGGATCCAAAATCAATACTTTCTAAAAAGATTGCTGATGACATCTGAATAACTTTTTGTTTAAGAATGTAAACTTATAAGACTAGAGTAGGTTATATTAGTGAACAACAGACATCTTCTGCAAAGAATTGAACATTTTCAACATTTTGACTTTTGTTATTAGAACTCTGTCCCAAAAATACAGCTGTATCACTGTCGAAAAACAAAAAACTATGTAAATAAGTACCAGATCCTCTGTTCTAATAAAATTTTATGTATAGATACAGTATTACAATAAATCTGGACAATGATCATCAGTTAGCAAATATCAAATTGATGTTACATTTAATCTGTACAAGTAATTTTACTCAAGTCTGCTTCCCTGACATAAAAGTTTTAAAATCCTATTGCAGAAAAAAATAATGTTATTATTCCATTTGGAGTAAATGTATTGCTATGTCAACTATTCATTAGAAAATGGTGTAATTAGTAATACAAAACCTATAATTCTGCATGGCATAAGTATAAATTTATTTTTATTTTCTTAGAAATTGTGTGCCCTATCTTTGCCAAATAAGAGATTACGATGCTGTGCTATTAATTACTTATGAATTAATTTGCTTCGTAAAAGATCATGAAACAGTTTAGATTCTGTGACACAATATATCCCTGTCATTTTAATGGGGGTTTTTCTGACCACCTCAATTGAGACAAGTAAAGCTCCAGGAATATCCCCAGAGAACTGTGACAAGTTGCTTAACATTCTTTTTCTGATACTGGTTTGAAGTTTGATGGTACACTGTGAGCTGAAGTTTCACAATTGCATTCTCACTGAAATACTGAATCCACATGTGACAGGTTATTTATTACCCTTTCACTAGCCATCAGGAATATGAGCTCTAACCTCACTCTGGTTACAACAGCTATCATGGAAATTAGAAAATGATAAAAGCAGACAAGTTTATGGAAAAAAAGGTATCCTGATCCACTGTTGGTGGGAATATAAACTATTGTAATCATTATGGATGACAGCATTGAAATTCCTCAAATGTATAAAAGTAGATCTACCAACGGCCATCCTACTGTGGACCCATTCCAAACAAAATGAAATCAGCATATGAGAGAAATAACTGTACTTCCATTTTTATAGCACCTTAATTCACAATAGTTAATATATGGAATCAACCCAGATGTCTTCAAACCATGACTACACAAAGCTAATACATATACACTAAAAAGTACTAATCAGCCATATAAAAAGAAACATTGTCTTTTGCAACTAAATGGATCCAATAGAAATCATTATGCCTCGTGAAAAAAAGCCAATCCAAAAAAGATAAATATTGTAGGTTTCTCGGATTTGTGGTTACAAAAAAAAAAAAATTGAGTGAGACTGACATTCTGGGATTTATTGTTTTTTTTCCTACTTATTGTGGGAGTGATATCTTTACCTAATGGAGCACTAAGCTTGTGATGGAAAGGAGAAGTCATTGTAAAAATTAGCAAAAGGAGATGAGGGAGAAGGAGGTTGGTGAGGAATGCAGGCAAGATGGTGGGTAATCTGGGACACATTGCTATGTTCCTACATCTGTACCATGAAACATGTGAAATTTATTTACTTTATGTAAATAACAAATAAATTTAAAATGGTAGCCAGGTGAAAAAAATGATTTTCTTAGCATCCAACTTGCAATTCAAAGCCAGAGTCAGCATGGCCATTTTTCTGAAACATGTTGGAGCTTAGTGGGGGCATATTTGGCCTTTTCACATAATTGATGAGATAGAAAGTTGCTTTATTTTGCACTAACTCTGGAGGCTATCCATTTATTCTTATTCATTCTTTTAGTCAATGTGTGGGAAGGAACATTGCATTCTGATTGTGTTGTCTCATTGCCAGAAGTACAGCAACTTCTAATTGAACTCCTAGCCTTGATCATGTTTGTTCCTGGGATTTTTCTTTTATGCTTAGGGAGAGTAATTGGAAATTAAGCTGATCAAAAGGTTTCATGTTGTAGCTATCTTTACTTGGTTTGGCTTTCACTGAATAAACAAAGCATCAGGGAGCCATTTGAGGGCCATGGTTATACAAGTAACAAGCATTAGTGAGTTAAAGTAATAATGTAAGAGCTACGAGAAAATGGCTGATTTTTGAAACTTGATGCAGTCTAGACATTTCTTTGCACAGAAGAATTGAACTTTCTGACTCAGGTCATCTGCTCCCTATTGTGTTGCTCTCTGTATATGTTCTCATGCATACATACACACATACACATGCAAGTATGTTTATAATATTTCATCTCTAGATCTCTATGGAGCACTATTATTTTATGTCATTTGATCTAGTAATATACTCCATCCATGCAATTTGAAGGAAAGCAATTTTCAGCCTTTTGTCATTATACATGTAACTAGCATCTTGTTTCCATTCTTCATAAAGAATATAAAGCGTTTGAGTTTCCATGTTAGCTGATGCTGAATTCATCTAGCAAGCTCTGTCTGATTCAGCTTAATTGAGGCTGAAGTAGATGAAGATCCTAGGAGTAGATTCTCGAGGCTTACAGGATCATTAGGCTGTGAAGGGGGATGAAATCTGGTACATGGTCAGAGGAGATTGGGCGCATTCAGGGTGGTATGGCCGTAGATGAAATCTGGTACATGATAGAAACATCATCAACAGATCACTGTAGTATGAAAGCTAAAAGGACTCTAACCAGTGAAATGCAATACTGGTAATAATCAACTCATTCATATATCTGCTGCCCCTAAATAACCCACTGCATTCAATAATAGAAGCTTTATAGAGGTTCTCATTTCCCTCAAGCTGACTGTGTCAACATTATGACACAATATTGATAAATACTGAAATAACTGCTAGTAAATACAGTACAGGAATTGTGCTCAGGCTAGAGGTTAAGAAGCTGCTTTCCATGTGGCAGTTCCTAAATTCAGGGTTAGCTTTTCAGCCATACCAACTTCCTGTTAACATGCACTCTGAACAGTTGCTGGTAATGATAGAAAAAATTGGGTTCTTCCCACAATTATAAGAAACCTAGATTGAGTTCCCGGATCCTGGTTTTGACCTGGATAAGCCCTGATTGTTGGAAGTACTTCAGAAGTGATCTAATGGATGGGAGATATTCTTTCTCTCTTTCTCTCAATCTCTCTCTCTTCTTTTTCAAATAAATAATAATTTCTAAAAAAAAAAAGGACAGAAATTATAATAAAATAACCATGAGTTTCCATTAACTTTGCATTGGAAGACTTTTATTGAAGTTATATTTAATTCTTTATTAGTTATCTCCTTTGAGAAACAGAGACATAAATTCATATCTCGCAAGTTATCTGGATTAGATGATATAATTCACATAAAAAGTTTAGCATAACATGTGGCACAATAGTTTTATGATTGCCAAGGTTATCATCTAAACTCAGTGGTTAGAGATAAAGTCTGTTCAGTTTTTAGTATTATAATGTGTACAGAGATGCAGATATTGAACATCTGATTTGTCCTTTAAGATGACAAAGCTTCAAGTACAGTCTTGATGACTTTCTTTTATTGTTTTATTACTTTGAGATGCTTATTAATACATTAAATTCTTGTGGTCACAGCCAGTACATGATAATTAACACAGTTCTCATAAATTCTCAAGTTCATGTGATATTAATACAAAGATAGCAGAATCTATTTAGTTCATAGAAAAACTTCTAGGAATATAATGATACTTCCCTTCCTATTTCCCTCCCTGGTATTTTCTTCTTCTATTTTTTCTTACTTTCAAATTTGAGATAATGTTTTTAATTTATATTATAGTCACAGACTTATTGTTCTAATAAATTAAAAGCTCAACATGTAAAGGTGCCATGATGACTATAAATATATGCATATATATGTATATATGTATGTATTTAAAAGATATTGATAGTGAGAGAGAAAGAGACAGAGAGCAAGCGCTTCCCCCTTTGATTTATTCTCCAATAGTCTGGCTTGACCAGGATGAAGCCAGGAATTAGGAGCTTCTTCTGGGTTTCACCCATGAGTGGATGGGGCCCTAGCACTTGGGCCATTAGCTGCTGCTTTCTCAGGCACAGTATCTGGGAGCTAGATAAGAAGTAGACCAGTCAGGAAATGAACTGGCATGCATATGGGATGCTGGTGTCACAGAGGCAACTTAATTCTCTACACCACTGAATCTTGTGACTTTCCAATATTATTGCTACAGAGGGGAAACATACATGGGCCAGGAGGTTTGATTTTATGTCTTTTAAGTTACCTTTCATCTCTGAGATTTTTCAGCTTTGAAAATTGTCAACAAAGCAGTTTAAACATAAATAATGACCCCCAATTTTACTTAACATTTTATCTGCTTTGTTGTCTGAGTCAAGATGTTACTGTGAGCACTAACATGTAAGTAAGCCCCACTCTAAAATGTTGGTTCTAGATGTGTAAGCATTGTTGATCTTCATTCCTTTGTACTGTGTGTCATCATGGCTAATACTCCAAAAAGTATTCTTTTTTAACTTTTTTATTGGTTTTCAAATTGTTTGCTTTGTAGAAATGGATGCACAACCATGTGGGCCTCTGATTAGGGAAGGGAGAAATGTGGGTGGCACAAATGTTTCAGCTTTTGTTTGTCTCCTGTGTACAAAGGGGAAACGTGGGAAGAGACATCTTTTAGGGAAGCCTTAGAGACCCCAATGTTGGGAAGAATGTTCAGAGGATGTTACTTGAGCGGTGTTGATAGTTCTGAGAAGTTGTTGTTTTCATTGCTCCAGGGTTGAGAAAAATCTTTCCAAGGTCTGTTGGTTGGCCAGTTCCAAGTTAGTGCATCCACAGACCCAGGAACATGCTGAAAATCTTGGCCAAGAGAATGGCCTAACCAGTTGTTTCCATCCCCTGATGAGGCAGTCAACATCTCTCACTGGCCTAGATGATCTGGCTGTCATGTTCCCCAAGTGCATCTGGACAGTCACCTCACTGTACTGTCATCAGCAACTGAGCAGACTCAGTCCCAAGGTTGGACTACACACATCCTGTGATTTTACTGAGGCCAGGGTTTCAGTTATGTGGTCCACTGGGTAGTCCTTCAAGAAACCTTACCATGGGTGATCTCAGACTTTTGGGTCTACCAGCCAGTGCAGGGTAAAGTTCAGCCTGCCACCTGCACCAGCCAACACTTATATGCATGGATGCAGCTGCCTGGTCATTTCTGCCATGGCATCATCTCTCACATGAACTTATGATGCTGTAGCCCAGCCCAACTGCTCACCACAGGTCTGATCTTCATGCACACCAGCAGGTGCCATAACCCATCCCCAGCTTTTGTCTTTGGGTGTGTCAGTCTCTGCTGCAGCCTAGCCTGGCCCAGCCTGCATCCCATCCAGCCCTCATAACAATGCCTTTCAAATAAGTAAAATAAAACTCTGAAAAACAAACAAACAAAAACGGATTTATAGGATGTGACTACCGTCCTAAGGCCAGCTTATCATTTCCCTTCTTAATGTTATTTCTGAACAGGATGGGAAGATTTTCTGCCGACGGACAGCTTGTGATTGCCAGAACCCAAATGTTGACCTTTTCTGTTGCCCAGAGTGTGATACCAGAGTCACAAGTCAATGTTTAGATCAAGATGGACGCAAGCTGTATCGCAGTGGAGACAACTGGACTCACAGCTGTCAGCAATGCCGGTGTCTGGTATGTCAGCTTGCTTTGGAGGGTTTTGTCCCTTTACTCTGAAAGTGGTTGCAAGTTGCATCTGGGTTCTAGTTTTCACCTACTTAGATAGCATGGATGTACCTGCAGGTCCTGTGATGAAGGGAGCATAATTTGCACATAAAGACATTGATATTCTGTGGAAAACTTTGTGCAAGACATAAAGAGCATATTTTTTAGGACAGATTTGGCCCAGTGATGTTAGTTTATAGCTGTTATAGTTTAGGATTTGAAATAGAAGACTTTTAATATCTTGATTGCTAATTGTGATCCTTACAGCACAAAATCATTTAATTCTTGTGACATAGCTAGTAAAGATTTTAGTATGTCAGATTTCATAAGTATATAAATTCCAGTGACTAAGTAATTGGAGATATAGCATCCTGTCCTAAATCCTCATATGCTAGCTGTCTATTTGATTACCCTGGGAAAGCCATGGTATTTCACTGATCACTCTTTCCTACAAATATACCCAAATGAGTACCTATTTTATATGGCAAGTGGGAAAACTAGCAACCATTGGTAAAGGATTGTGCAGTATTTGGCATTTAGAAAGTATTCAGTGCATGGTAGAGATTATCGTTAATATTTTTACCTTGAAAATCTCCTCCATCCTAAATGTTTACATAGAAAAACAAAGTTGTGAATAGATAATAATATAATGCACTAATGGCATCAGCAAATTTTAAAAATCCAGAGGAAAGGCTTACTTCTGAACCTGGTTTATTCTGTTCCAAGTTATAGCACAGAAATTTTTGTCAGTAAGACTTTTTAAGATACTTGTCATAGTGAATGATATCGCATCTACAAAACATAATTATGGAGCATTCTACCTGAATCAGCTTTTAATAAAAACTCTCACCTGGGTGTTCCTAGTTTAACAATTATTTAGCACAGTGATACTTCATGAAAAATTAGAGAAAATTCTAGTAAATTTGCATCAGATTTTAAAATATTCTCAAACATTTCTTAATACTAAGGACTATAATGCAGTTAAAAAAGAATCATATTCATCTTTTCAAATTCTCATCCAAGGACATAGAACTCTAATCGGAGTGTTAAATCTATTTTCTTGTTGGTCTGTAAACTCACATTTATTTTATCACAAAGCCAGTCATTATGTAGACAGAAGACTGGTACTAATTTTCTATGTGAAATTTTCATACACAGAATTTCAAAACTATATTTTCATCTCCATCCTTCCGAGGGCAATATTTATGGGAAAAATAGAAGCCACTTGATGTAATTGCTAAGAATTACCTGAGGCCATTGTGGACCGTATTTAAAAAAATATGCATCACAGGTTTGAATGTGCTAGGCTCTGTGTGACATAATGGTGAACATGAGAGAAAAAGTATATTGCCTCACCAATCCTTATGTAGCCGTCTGGACTATTAAACAAAAATTACAGTGAATTATAATGACTGCGTGACAGCAGCAGAGGCTACATTAAGAGTCCTCTGGTCGTTATGCTGGTGGAGCCACAGTTTTAGATACTGACACATGCAGAGGGCTCTATCTGGACTATATTTGGAAAGATCACGAGTCACACTCTGCATTCAAAAACCACTCTGAAATGTTTCTCCTGATGATGCCCCATCTCAGCTTTGCATTCCAAACTAAAAGTTCAATTTATAATGTAGAATGCTATCGTGCTTCACATCCTGCTTTTAACCTTATGAAAAATCAGTATCCATTTACACACTAACCATGCATTTCCATCCATTTATTTATTTTCAGATTGCATTGACAGAGGCTATACTAAGCATCCAGAAGATTAAGCGAAACAAGTTAAAAGCCTTAAGACTCAAAACTGAATGTGCAGTTGTGTTAATTATGATATATTCCTATAGATCACAAAAATAATATAGTCTGTGTTTAGCACACAAAGCGGCTGACACATGCTTATGGATTATAGTACAATTGGTCAGCAAAAGCAACCTAAAAGAAGTGATAATGGTAGTAGATCTTTTAGGAGGAAGCATATTGTACAACTAATGTGGGTAACTAGAAACATTTACTGTAAGGAGAATTAGCATGTTAACTTTCCCACTATCAGACACGGGGAATAACATTGCACATGATGAGACACTTTTGGCTTTCTTTCCATAGGAAGGAGAGGTAGATTGCTGGCCACTCACTTGCCCCAATCTTAGCTGTGAGTACACAGCCATCTTAGAAGGGGAGTGCTGTCCTCGCTGTGTCAGTGATCCCTGCCTGGCTGATAACATCACCTACGACATCAGAAAAACTTGTCTCGACAGCTATGGTATTTTGAGGCTCAGCGGCTCGTTGTGGACAATGGCTGGATCTCCGTGCACAACCTGTAAATGCAAGGTAACTGGATTTCCTGAAGACATGAATACAGGAGCTTCCTCTGGGTCTCCCACATGAGTATAGGGTCCCAAGGTTTTGGGCTATTGTCCACTGATTTCCCAGGCCATAAGCTGGTAGCTGGATCAGAAACAGAACATCTGGGACATGAACCGGCAACCTTATTAGATGCCAGCTTTTGGAGGTAGAGAATTAGCCAGTTGAGCCATCATGCCAGCCCCAATGGTCTTTCATGAAATTGTAATTAGGAAGCAAATGTTCAAGAAAATTGTTTGTAGTTTAATGGTTATAGTACCAATGTATAAACCAGTGACTCTTGTTCCATTATTTGATTATTGAAAATTCCACTTTTTTATGGAGGAGGTACCATGAAACATCCTTATGTTTCTTGAAGATCAAAAGCCTGACCCTCTCCTCTGTTTAAAACTCATGAAAAGCTCTGGCATTAACTAATTGGAACAATTGTTAGTCAATATAAAAAAAATCATTGCTAAAATATCTTGAAGAGTCCCATGATTAAACGCAGTAAAAATGCTAGTATACTTGATTTTGTCAAATGATGGCTCAGCTTTAGGCATCATTGGAAGGTTCCCAAGTTGCTTGTCTGTGCTGGATTTTTCTCTCTTTTCTGGAAATTACCATCTAACATACAGTCCCAACAGCCAAAGAATATATCAAACTTCATTTAGCAAAACATTTAACATAGTAAAATCAATGACCAAGAGACATATATGCATCATTTAATAGTATTTCTTTGACATCAATTTTGAGATTCACTAATGGAAATTACATAGTTAAATCTACATTATTGTATGAAATTTATTGTTAATACATTTCAAGTATTTATACATTTGTATGTTCGATTTTCCCTTCATAGCCACAATGAGAGACTATATTTTCCTTAATACTTTTATCTTTTTCAATTAGCCTTCAGAATTTTGTAGTACTGTTGATTAGATTTGTGAGTGACAAATTGATATCTTTTAGAAATTTAGTTTTGGAAAGTATCTCATTTTCAGTAAGCATGGTAAATATGCTATAAATCAGCTTGGAATAGTAGGAAGATGTTACAGAATTTGAGTGTAGTAATGGAATTGAAGGCACTGTCAGTGGAACCAACAGTTCATCAGAAGGGACCCTAGGGAGTCCATCAGGCCTTCCTTCCTTTCATTCTGGTTCTATCTTCTTTCCAGTAATATTTCCATAGCATTCCTGGAATTTGTCTCAAATCTCAAAAGGCTAATAAGAACTTAGAAACTTGAGACTGATAATTGGTTTGTAGTCTGTGTTTCAACTTTCTAACTCTTGTTTCTTTAACATACAGAATGGGCGAGTTTGCTGCTCTGTGGATTTGGAGTGTCTTCAAAATAATTGAAGTCTTTAAAATTGGCTCATCATGGGAAAAAATGGACAAAAAGACCATCTAACATCATGAAAATAGGAGTTGGTGTTTGACTTTTTTAATCACAGTTAATTACCAAAGTCTCCATTGGAGAAAGGTGTTTTGGGGTTGCCTTTTGGAACTACCACTTTACTCATCCTTGCTAAGCTAGTCTAGGTGACCTAAAGTGCAGTGCATTTAAGTCCATGGTTGTTAAAAGAAGTTTCCATGTTGTAAATCACATGTTCCCTTATCAGATCATTTGCAAATCCATTTAAATGATCTCATGGTAAATGTTGATGTAATTTTGGTTTATTTTGCATATTAACAAATCGAGACTCAATGCCTTTTATTTATTTTTCTTGATTTTTGAGTCAAATTCTAAAAATAAAGTTGCCTGTTGTGATTTTGTCCCATCTACTGCCTACTTAATATTGACATTTCTGTGAATTGTGTTGATGAAAATCTGTGTGTAGAGACTAATTGCTTCTCACATTTTATACTCAATTGGCTTTCATTCAGCTTAAAGAGACATAAGCTAAATACGATACACGAAAGTTGGAAAAGAGCAAAGGGATAACTGAAAAATTGTTTTTAAAATTCCTCCTTGATTCATCATTAATAAGAAAAGAAGGAGGAAGAGTGAAACATGGGGGATGAGAAAGGGGAGGAGGAGGAAAGAGAGAGATGAAGTTGAGGAAGAGAAGGAAGGAAGGGAAGAAGGGAGGAAGGAAGGAAGGAAGGAAGAAAGGAAGAAAGAAAGAAAATGAATGAATTTAGGAGCCATAGTGCTTAAGATTTTGGTGGGGATGTTGAAAGCAAAATGATATTTTCTTCAACTTACACACAATTTGATAACTTGTGAAGTATTTCAGTACTTTAAAAATATACATTCTCATCTCAGTACAGGTAAATAACCCTGTCCTCACACTAAAGAGGTATGAGTTAACGAATCCAATCAATCAGCATGTTCAGAGTTACTTGATTTAGAGCAAATGTGATTTGGATACCACATCTCCTAATTCCTGACCAAGAATATTTCCCAATAAATCATACTGTTTCTCATATGGATGAATTGATTTGTAAGCTTAACAATTATTTTAACAGTGACTGTTTCCATTGTAACCACTACAAATTTTTAGCGATTTGAAGCTACACAAACTGAACCACATATGCAAATGACATCTGTGTGAGCTAAGAATTCGACTGAATGTTACACTCTCAGGAAGATCCCATTTTATTTGTCATTAAAATTATTCATGGATTTCTGCTGAATTTTAAGCATAAGTAAGATCTAATTCATTAATCAGTATTGATAGAAATAGTGTTCAAAATCAAATACTAGAATTGTAATTTAGAGTTATAGCAACCAAGGTTACACTAATTCATTGTTGCTGTTTAAATGGAGATGTTTCTCACTTTTTTTTATAAAAATGAAGTTGACTTCATATAACCAGTTTCATACATTGCATTGGGATAACAGCAGTTTAAGTACTATATGTGACATAAACCAACATAAAGTGGTACATTCAAATGCCTCAAACCATGGAGTGAAGAATTTGAAAATTAATCTTCTGAAAATATTTATGACAGTTCCATTTTTTAAGGTTTGCAATTTTATTAGGGAACAGACATTTGCAAGACTAATTTGCAATCACTTTGCATGTGGCTGGAATTGATGAATGATGGACTCTCCCATGAAATTCAACCTTGTCTATTTTATTGGGACACAGTAGGCTCATTCATTTATGTGTTGTTTATGATGTAGAAATACAATGGCAGTATTGTTTAGTTCTCAAACTGTCCGGATAAGTGGCAAAATCAGAACCCATATGTTTGCAAGCCTCTGATATAGTATGACTAAACACTGATGTGCAATTTGGAAAGATGTTCCCAGTTTTTTTTTTTTTTTTCGTAAAGAATCATTAAATGTCAACAGTTTCATTTGAAGGTGTACATATTCATATATTACTGCAGTTTAATTGGCAATGATGGCTCTTCAAAAAGCACCTAAGTTTTACAAAAACAATAATTGGACTCAATATTTTCTTTTTACTGGAGATCAGGTGAGATAAATTTAATCTTAACTAATTAAGAAAATGTTACTGATATCAGTAGTACAACTTAAGTCACTGAAGTTAGAAAATTCAATTACATTTTTTAAAAAAAGATTTATTTTATTTTTATTGAAAAGGCAGATACATAGAGAGGAGGAGAGACAGGAAGATCCTTGATCTAATGGTTCACTCCCAAGTGGCCGCAATGGCCAGAGCTGAGCCAATCCGAAGCCAGGAGCCAGGAGCTTCCTCCAGGTCTTCCATGTGGGTGCAGGGTCCCAAAGCGTTTAGGGCCATCCTCCACTGCATTTCCAGGCCACAAACAGGCTCCTGGGTGGGAAGCAGGGCCACCAGGATTAGAACCGGCGTCCTTATGGGATCCAGGTGCGTTCAAGGTAAGGACTTTAACCACTAGGCTACAGTGCCGGGTCCAGGGGATTTAATTTCTGTAAAAATTGATGACATTTGCTTATTTAAAAAGGTTTTGAGTATATTATATCGAAAGTATGCTGTTAATATTTCTGAAGAATTTTAAAAGTATGTAAGTAAATCAATCTTTTAAAGACATCATTATATGGTCCTTTATAACATACTGACAATGTCCAAATCAATTATGAGATCCTACTACCATGTTTTGTCCTAAAAAACTGTCCTGGGCCAGAAATTCAGGAAAGAGCTTCTTTTCAAAAATATGATAAATCTCTTGATAGAATTTCCTAACTCATGTCATGTTTACAGTGTCAATAGTTTATCAATTAAATGAGTCAAAACATAGTTTGACAATTCTGTCTCCTGAGAGACAACAATGGTAATTTGAATCACCATACAGGTAGAGTGGCTGGCATACATTAGTGAGGACAGTGAAAAATACAGATGCAATGATGCATGTATCTACCCCCTTATTATTAAGAGTTTGAAATTTTTGTGACTCTGATGACTAGCAAGTATGGGGAAAAACACTTGATTCATTCACTCTCCATATACCCACTAAATACCAAATTTGCCTCATTTTGGAAAAATTATGAATATAGATACACATATAATATATTTATATGTTATAAATAATTACATTTCTGTATGTTCATGTACATAACACTCCCCTCTTCTGAACTTTATACATTGTCACTTTTTGTTTTTGTAAGAGGATTTTAACATGTATTTTCCTTATATTATGTCTAAAATAGGCTATAGGTTACACAGTATAATAACTGTTGGGGCAAACTTCATTTTTTCTACCCATAAGGGTCCAGTGCATAAAGTTTGCACTTAAATCTAAATATTTTAATTTATGATTTTTTATAATATAAAAAATTTCTGTGGGATCCTTGAAACAGTCCATTTCAGTGGATTTTGAATTTTTTTAAGAACTACTTTTTTGGGAAGCAAAATATATGCAATACCCTCACGTGAGAACTGGATACTAATATACTTTCTCTGGTTGGAAAAGAACAGGGCTGGAAGCCCTTCATATACTCACTACATCAGTTTTCAACAAAGCAAAGCTTGGTTTTACTGCTACAATTGGGGGAAATCCTTTAGAGGACTAGTTAGGTGCTTTGTACAAATTTCACTAGTTAGTCATAAATTTGGAACTACCACCCTTATTCTTTTTTTTAAATTGTCCTACTAATGATACAAAATATGTTTCCACATTTCAATGTCCAATGGAGTTCTCTTACTGTTTATAATGATGACATTAAAAGACAATAATGGATGAAGGATGAGATATAGTATCTGTTATTGTCCATTTTGATTGTGACATTACTTTACAAAAATTCTGAAGTTCAGTTCTGTGAAAATGTTGAGAACATGAGCGTATTTAAATCCACAAGAACAGTGAGCCATCCACCCAATACATAATCTCATATGTTCCAGAAAAGTAAGTGAGGGAAAAGAAAAATGTTTACAAATGGTGTTATTCCTTAATATTAAATACACACATCTCAGAATACTTTAGCATCTGTCACTGCATATATAGATTGTTTTCAGATTTTATTTGTCATTCATCATTGACTCTTTTATTTATTCAATGGCACCATGGCAGACTCTGAAAATATAGAAGTGGATAAAACAAAATTGCTCTGTATCTTTATGTTATTTGTTGCCCCATGTGTAAAAGACTGACAATAAACTATGTAATAGCTGTGTAATATAACTACAGACAATAATAGTACTAGGAAGATTCAGGCAAATTGATAAATTATAGAGGAATTGTAGAAGCTAATATTAGATAATATGGCATAATCAAAAAAGCCCCCAATAAGGGAAGGTTAGACAAGCTGCAGCATTTAATGGTAAAAGGTTTTTGCTGAATTGTGTAAATAACATTTCAGACAAGAGAAATACATACAAAGGATTTTTTTTTGCAAGGTGCAAATGGGCTTGGTGTGCTGAAAGCCATTAGAAATCGCCAAGGCCTTTAACTAAAAGGACAAATGGGATCCAGTGCAGTAGCCTAGCAGCTAAAGTCCTTGACTTGCACATGCCGGAATTCCATATGGGTTCCGGTTCTAATCCCGGCAGGCCCACTTCCCATCCAGCTTCCTGCTTGTGGCCTGGAAATGCAGTGGAGGATGGCCCAAAGCCTTGGGACCTTGCACCCGAGTGGGAGACCTGGAAGAACTCCTGGATTCTGGCTTCAAATTGGCTCAGATACGGCTGTTGTGCCCAGTTGGGGAGTGAAACAATAGATGGACGATCTTTCTCTCTCTTCCTCCTCTTTGTATATCTGACTTTCCAATAAAAATAAAATCTTCAAAAGGCAAAAAAAAAAAAAGTGACAAATGATATGAGATGGAGTTTAATGGGGAAAATGGAAACAGACTGCATACAACAATCCTGTGAGGGCCTTAGTAACAAATTTTGTGAAACAAATGGATACTTTCTAATACATGAAGTATTTAGAAGTATTTAGCTATGCACACACATTCACTGACATTCATGCAATGAATTTTTAGTTATAAATTCATTCATTTTATAAAATTATTTCTCTATAAACTTGAAATTCATATTATGTACCCAAGAAGAAAGATAACCAACATTATCCATTACATCTGAAGTTTAATCTCTACAAGGGGTTATCACAACTACATTTTAAAGAGAGATTCAAATTTGTGGAGAAATGAATTCAAAAGCCCTTATTAAAGACGGACCTTTACATCTGTGTATTGCCTATGCACTGAGCATATTTGGTTTCTCAGTTCTTGCTTATTGAAGTCATTTGAGTCCTAAGATTCTTCTCTGATATCATCTTGTATTATTGCTGCAATAAGAAGTAATGAAATTCTGGGAAAGAAAGGAATCTACTAAATTACTGTGAGGTAATTAACAACAACCAAGTACTCTTGAAGCAA